TTTGCTAACAATATGCACAAAATATGACATTTATTATCATTATTTGGTTAGTACAGGTAATAAGTTATTAGTTTTTATACTTGTATTTAACAATATATGCATTCAATGAATAAATATTGAAAAAATTAATTTAACGCTTTTTAATTAATTAGAAATAAATTATTACTGACCACAACAGCCTATATGTTATTATCTAGGCTAATTGACTCTACAGCTAATACTTTAATTTTATTGAATAGAAATTTTATAGAAATAAAATAATAAGAAAATTTAACAAATATGTATGAATTTTTTTAATCAAAAACTTATATAAATAATTGTTTAAACCTTACTTCTGGCTTAAAATACAATAGAATTACAATAATAACAATTTAAATAAATCGTCGATTGCTTTTACGTTTGACATAAATTCTGATTGAATTCGAGTTAATATCCATTTCGCGAAACTTATTCTTCAGGAGATCAGCCATTGTCTTATCCAATACTAGTCTTAATGGACTTCTTCTAACTCTCATTTCAGTGCAATTATGACAAAACGATATCAATTGATACACATCTTCGTAATACTCGATCAGACAAAGTGTTTTGATATCAACAAAACGACTCAAATGATGGCTACTTATGACGGGTGGACCAAAAAAACTATATTCTTTCAAGAGGTCTAAGCGTCTGAGTTGTGGTAATTCTGCCACTCGTTGTAAACAATCATTGAAACAGAGATCGCATCCATTCGAGTGATTATCTTCGACGTCGAAAGGGTTATCACATTCACATGTTATGAAAATTATGCCAATAAATGAAAAGCGCCGGACGTTTGGCACAATTGTGGCCAATAGTGTCCACTCGGATGGACGACAAATGATACCCGTAAGAGTCAATTGCCTTAAAGACGGCATTACTATCATTGAAATTGTGTTGAAAGGCATATAAGAGTTGATCCACAATCGTTGACAAGCCGTCAGTTTGATTAGATTATCGCGAAGTGATTGTCCACTCACTTCATCTCTCTTAAACGCAAACTCTTTGAGTGTCATGTGATCGCAGATTGCGGTAAATAACTGATCCCAAAGTTGAGGGTCGAGATTACGGACATTAATATCCAAACTTTCCAGACTTGAAGAGCAACGAGTGATGAATGAATTGATACCATTCTTGTCTTCCAAAGACATTTCAAACGTTTGTATTCGCAATCTCTTTATATTTGCTGGAATTCTGGTCAACACTGATATGTGTTCAATGAAATTAACACTAAATTCTTGAAGCGCTGAAAATTGGTTTAAATTCCTCATTATTTTGTCAGTATATTTGTCATTACAATCAATGAAAGACAACGACTTGAGTCGCGGCCCAAGAAGTTGTGTCCACTCATCGCTAGTAATATTGTCCGAAGAGATAATTTCAGTGGAAATCAATGTTAGGCGCGAAAGTTGAGGACACAAATGGATGAGCAGAGCGATGGTCTTGTAGTCGACGATAACACGTCTCAAACAAACACTTTTAATGAGTGAACAATTAGTTAGTATTGCTGTCAACACGTGATGACTGGCCATCAAATCGTATTCAAATTCAACGATTTTCGTGTCGTAATCCTCGCAAAGAACGGTATCTTTTCTAACGATGGCTTTTGTGATATCGCTTTCTTCGGTATGCTTCTGACCCACACTTAGCATACGTTTAGCCCTAAGAGCTGTTTCAACACAACTCGCAAACTGTGCTGAAGTCCTCTCCAATCGATACAATTCTTTGACACTTAACTTTTTAAATATATTGATGATAATGTCGTCTACCATTACTCTTGAGTTTGTGACCACTTTGTTATCATCAGAGGTTGTATTCACCGACTTCTCATCGATGCCGTCATTCAATAATTTGTTATCACCGGTGGATGTGTTCTCAGACTTATCGTCGATCTTTGCATTTAATAGTTTGGCTATAATTTAGTGTTAAATGATTACAACATTGAATTGATTTACAGAAAACAAATCAAACAAACGATACATACGTTGAATGACTTTCTGATTGGATTTGGTGTCAATTTTGTAGACATTTGTGGTATTCTTGCCATCGGTTGTAGTGTTGGAGTCAATGCCTCCCAAACACCCGCAACACAACACATATTTACAAATCCAACACATTTTGTCTCCAATTTTGTTACCAAAAAATTCAAATGATTTGTATTTAATAACAGAATATTCCGTTAATAATTCAAATGTTTGATAACAATTAATACAGAATATTGTATTTATTTTTAAAATTGTATTAATTTTCTGTTCAACAATATAATGCATTTACGGTAACAACCCGTTAATGTATAAACCATTACTTAACCCAACAAACAGTTATTTAAAAATATTGACTGCACTTTAACTTTTAATAAAACACATGAATTATATTCAATACATAACATGTTTATCAATAGAGTATTAAAGTTATAAAATTCACACAAAATGTAATTATTATATTAACAATCGATTCTTGTGGGCGGAACCCAACCCCCAAACCGTGTGTCCAACTCCTCGGCCACAGCTATAGTCAAGTGATCGTTGAAAGCTTTGGCGATCACTTGAACTCCGAGAGGCAGGCGTTTAGTGTTGAGCCCTAACGGGACTTGAGTTACGGCCACTTGAAGACAGTTCCAGACAGCGGTGTAGACACAGTTCTTGAAGTTAAATAGAGTTGCGTTCAGTTTGACTTCACTGTCCGGATGGTCGGGAAATAGCAATACCCCGTCATCTCCTGTGCGATGCAAACAAATATTAATATTTTATGTTTAAAATCGTTAAACAATCGCAAAGTTACGCGAAATATACCCAAGAGTTGATGAATTTCAGACTTTAACTCTTCTGCCATTGCTTTGAATTCACGTAACACTTCTTCTTTGGGAGGATTGGCGTCAAAAATGGATCCAAATATGGCTTCAATCGTGTGATCAGATCCGCCGTAAACTGATTTCATAATCTCGACAAACGGATTAATGGCTCCGTTTCTGTTGGTTAGCTCTTCAGCAAAAGGGGTGACGTTTTCCACTTTCATAGATGACTGCCATATGAGGAATGAGTGCTCGAATTTGTCTAAATTAATCTCTTTAACGGTTGCGCCCAAACTCTTGAGATGTTGAACGCATTCATCGATACCTTTTCGGGTCTCAGCGCTGACAGGAGTGAGAAGTGGATCATTGATTGCATACATATAATGCACTTTAAGTCGACTTAAATCCACGCTTTCATCCAATTTAAGCGCCGATACTTTGTCGCCGAGAAATACTTTAAACACTGGTTTAATATCCTTCGCGTAGCGAACCATTGGTCCGTACGATAGCATCCGTAGCCTTCCGGGCGGATATGGGGGCCAGTGTTCGTCAGTGGGCACGAGCTCTGGTGTCGGGCAGTGACCATAAATACCGCAAAAATACGCCGGTATTCGTGTAGAGCCGCCGATATCTGAGGCGATACCCACTAGAGAGCCGGCAGACGCTATCAGAGAACTGTTGCCACCAGTACTTCCACCTAAAGAGACCACAGATTTATGTATAGATTTTGGGCAACATTTTATCAGCAAATACCTGGAATAATAGATTTGTCGTAGGGATTGAATGTCTGGCCAAACGTCTTATTGTGTGCGTTATACCAGAGCAACAATTCGGGCACATTTGTCATACAGACGGGTATCGCTCCGGCGTTTCTCATGCGCTCACAAACGGGCGCATCCTTTGTGGCTCTGATACCCTTCCGTGCGGGACATCCGGCCATAAATAACATGCCTTTTATGGAAACACTGTCTTTGCCTGAGAAGGGAATGCCGAGCAATGGCTGGGAATGAATGGACACTCCATTGAGTGGTTCATTGCCGTGGAGTTCATGTGCGACCCGTTTGTCCACTTCGATGGCATCGATGATCGCCTCGTCGTAGCGCTCGTCTATCACTGCGTTTATGTGCGGCTATTCAGCAATCAATTGATATAAAAATCATTTAATATCGTTTACGACATTTCAATTGTCAATATATTAATGTCTTTATGTTTGCAATAATAAGAAAAATATCTATTTCTCGAAAGTAAATCTGTTTTGAATAAAATGCAATTATTTCCTCATTTGAAATATTAGGCAAAATATATTGTTTCTGATATTCATATGATATGAATCATATCAATCGTAAATACAATTAATGCATAAAAACAGATCAGAATTTTATAGACAATTAATTTAAAGTATAATTTTAAATATAAATATAACACTAATCTAATCACACAATCGATTAACAAATAATAAATACCTGAACTGTTTTGATGCGATCGATGTATGCTTTGACTAAAACTTCACTTTTTAACTATAATAAAATGCAAAAAAAACAAATAATTTGATTAATATTTAAAAATATAATACATAAGACAATCGATGGCAATACTTGTCCGGTTTTGATCCGTTTGACTAAATCGACCGCCGGTTCCAACAGTAGTCTATCAGTAATCGGTGGTAAGTATTGTTGTTTCGATGGATATAATAAACCAATAAATTTGACAAATATATCCAATAGCGTACGTATGGATCGTTTCGTATAAAAGCCAAATGAAGGCATTTTATAAATTGTTTGCCCTTTTTGTAAACTCTGTTCAAAAATAATGCAAATTGTGATCAAAATTTACTCAAAATAAAACTTATTTTCAGTTCAAACACGACTTTGAAGTATTAAAAAACTTGATTTGAGAGTTGTTTGAAAATATAGTTTCCTTTGACTGATAAAAACCACTATCAGTAGTGATTTGAGGCAATGTTTTGACTATAATTATGTAATTTTCATGACTTTAATGTATTTTTGCATTCAATTGCTTTGAAAAATATGACGTTTATATACAGTAGTGGAGTAAATGCTATTGTTTTTACTGTTTAAATAAAATGATTATTTGATTGCATAACAAATACATAAAAATGTTGACGTTTAAAACTAGTTAATTTAAATCAGGTATAATAAAAAAACATGTATAATGAGCGCCGGCACATTTAAACCCCGGGGCAATTGTCCATCACGGTATTACACATGCACTAAGCTACATTTAATCTAATATAACTTGATTTAACATTAAAACATGGAAAATATTTTAGATATTGAACATTACTTTCAGCACTCGAGGCCTTTATGTGATCAATTATGCACATAATTATCACAAAATGATCATGGGTACATCACATGTACATCAAATCATACCGTAATTAATTCAGTGCAATGAGTGCGCTACTTTTAAATATTTGACACATGATAAATTTGTGACAAAGGCAACTTTTTTAAATTCATTAATTTAAATTTATTGTACAAATGTGTCAATACTTATGCAAAAATAATTAAGTAATAATAAGTTGTACTATTTATATTTCAATCATTAAGTAAACATGTAATCATGATCAATTAATAAATTACTAAATAAGTATTACTATAAGATCATCCCATAAGCGGATCCATTAATAAATTGTCAATCAATATAAACCAATTATGAGTTCATATAAATAAATTATAATCAAAATGAGTTTCAAATTAAATATAATATTATAGTTATATACAATTTTGTGATAATATTATCCAAATAAGTGTTTCATATGATTACTATTGAAAACATAAAACATCAGTATTTATGATTTGAAACAGCATTTAATGATACAAACAATACAACAGAATATTCATTGAAAACTAAGCGCAAGAATTTGAAGCCAGAAATACGAGAGAAATGAGAGAAAAGAGCAAAAAGAAAATCATTGAATGAATCATACAATCAGTGCTTGAGTTTCAATGAAAAGTCTTATTCATCAGAAAAGACGACAAAATAATTACAAACAAAATACAAACAAAACTTGAAAAACATTCATTCAATGCTAAATGAATAGGTGTTGTCATAATAAACAGCGCAACCGTTTGTATGGTATGCACAGCACAAACACATTCACTACAATACCTGTGCCAATACATGTACGCTCGCATACCTGCGCCCCTCAACAGTAACACAACACCCCTTCAACTGCCATAACCTGTGCTATGCTATGGTATGTCTGTATAGTGTTGTAGTGTTTGGCAAACGTTTTATATGTTGTCTTCACTAATGATCACTCTATGAGAGACACACCTATTGTTATGCCATTCAAAATGCATTGCATTTTCATTTCACGAAACAAATTGTGAGATATTTTTTACAATCAGTTTTATTATGATTTCTAATATTAATCACTGATTAAAACTTATTAATAATTATGTGATTATAATAGTTGTGTTTTAAGTTTTTTTATACACTATTTATAATCAAAGGATTATATTTTTAATCCCAAATACAATGTGTCTATAAATCCCTGTATTTTTCATCACATTTTTAGATGAGATGTTTTCATAATTATTATAACAATTAATAAATTAATATAATTAATAGTTTTTAGTATTTTTACAACTATTTTACACTAAATTATATCATATTTAATATACACTATAATAATAAACAGTAATAATAATAGCGATAATGTATTTACACATAAATTATTTGCCATTAAATTCACGACAAATACAATCACTATTAATACGGCTTTTAATTATACACACAATCATTGTTTGCATTAAATGTGAGTATAATTTGATCACTCGATTATCAGCTGATTATCACTTAAACAAACCATTAATGTACTGATTATTATCAGGCGATTACTGTAACCACGAGCTAATCGGCCGGACGTCCGCCCAATTGAGTGCCTCATCACAAGTCAGCGCCGATAAGGCGCCCAAATATGCTATACTTCACGGCAAGTATACCCCCGACGACCACTTTCTCTTCACACCCCTGTATATAGTGTACCCCGACTTTAGTGAAGCCCCCGATTGTGTAGATTTACTATATTGTAATTTACAATTTGTAAATATTTATCGATGAGTTGTTTTGTCAACACTTGTATCAAATCACTGATTAGTTGTTAATGAATTGGCAGTCAAAACACAGACTCGTGTTTCGCAGTTATTATCATTACATCCGAAATCCCAGACACTTATAAATCAAATAAACAATTATGTGTTTAATATTTCAATCAATAGTTGTTTAGTGTTTCAAAAATAACTTTTATTTACGTTAAATGCCATTAACTTTATTGAAAACTTTTATAGACTTTATGTTGTTTTGAGAAATTAGATAACTTAGAGGTTATAATTGTTATGAAATGTTGACTTGAATTATGTTTAACGTTGTAATGAATGTGCACTGAATAGAGGGGTCCGTCTGGACGGCGGCTCAAAATGACTTTTCCCAGTACTTGCAAATCGATTTGGGAAAGCAATACAACATCTCTGCCATCGGCTCTCAGGGCAGACAACACACCAAAGAATTCGTTCAAGAATTCAAATTAGAGACCGGAATCGATGGACACGACTTCTCTGTCTATCGGGACAGAAATGGCAACATTAAGGTTAATATACGACTCGCACCGGGAGGTCCGGTCGGTCGACTCCACCACTACTTGTTACTAACGACAACACATCCAGTCTCTTAACGCGAATCAAAAACTACTAATCAATTTACTCTCATATCTAACCATTTCTAACGATAATAACAAATCTAATCCATTATTTGCACCAAAAATATTTCCATTACTTCGACTCATTTCACTAACACTTGATTTCTCGTTTCAATTAACAATTTATATGAAACAAAAACACTATAACTAACCACTGATTACTAACACAACGATAACACTAATATCACACGATTAGGTCCGTCCTGTTGGACAGCAGAAAGGGGTGACTTTTTGCAACACTTGACCATTGATTTGGGATCAGTGTATAACTTGACGGCAGTGGCCACTCAGGGCAGAGCATTCACTAATGAATACGTTAGTCAATACTATCTGTTGCTCAGCGATGGCGGAGACTTCTGGAGAATGGCTTACTCTGACTCTGAAGGCTATGAGCAGGCATTCACTTCTTTTACTATTGTCTTTCATTAACCACTCGTTTCTGTTATGTGTTTTTGCCATTAGTTTTGTTTGGTTTTTGTTTGTTTCGTTGCACACAAAAACTTTTTGCTTCTTTTACTTGTTTTGATTCGTTATTTGCATTCATTTTTCTTAATTATAATTACAATCCGAGAGATAATTAGTTTTTAATTGTCATGATTTGTATGCATTCGCACAGCTATTCAAAGGCAACTCCGACGGCAATAACGTAGTCATCAACCGATTTGATCCGCCAATCATTGCTCAATACATACGAATCAATCCGACGCGTTGGAGGGATAGGATCTCTATGCGGATCCAACTCTACGGCTGCGACTATCGTAAGACAAATGGAGAAGAAATACTATAATTTGTGTTAAATTATTAATGAAATGAATGACATTTAATGTCCAATAGATGCCATTCCTCTGCATTTTGACGGCCAGTCACTGATTCTAATGGATCTGAAGAAGCGTCCGATCGACTCGTCATTCGACGACGTGTTTCGGTTTCGGTTCCGTACGAACGACGCGAACGGCAATATTCTCTACAGTCGGGGAACTCAGGGAGACTTTATGGCCCTCCAGTTGGTCAACAATAAGATGGTCTTCTCATTGGATTTGGGCGGCGGAGGCCTTATTGAGTCCATTTCTGCCGGGAGTCTACTCGACGACAATCTATGGCACGACGTGTTGATCTCGCGAAGAGGTCGCGACGTACTGTTCAGCGTTGACCGCGTGTTAGTCCGACATTT